CATCCACAGGCCTGAAGAATGGGATGCCCTGTGGGAGGTTTCATCCCAGTCTCAGGCCAAAAGGCCTAAATGTAGTTTCAGGATCTGAACTTGACCTCATCATCCCTCTCAACTAACCCAGGCTGCCTTACCTTGTCATCACTCTCTAAAAAGCTTTGTTAAGGAGAGTTGAAGTGGCTTCTAATTAAAGATCTAAAATGCTCAAACTGATTTTAAAACACAGGGAAGTCCTTGTAGTCAGTAGCTTTGGAAACTTATGATAGACATAGGTCTGTCTCTGCTAACAGAACAGAGACTCCAAATGTCTCTATATGTGCTGAAAGAAAGACAGCTGGAAAAGAAAGGTCTTTCCTCTGCACCTGTGTCCTAATCTGTGAAATGCATGTGTCAAGGCACAGGTATATAAAGATAACTAACAAGACAACACCCTCACACCAGTCAGAATGGCTAGCATTGTGAGTCTGACTGATCGGAGGTAGTCTGACCCATCTTTTATCATCTCCCTGTCCCTTTTGTTTTTCCCCTCAAAAGGAGCAATTCATTGAGCTGTGCAAGACACTTTACAACATGTTCAGCGAAGACCCCATGGAGCAGGACTTGTACCACGCTATTGCCACGGTGGCCAGCCTGTTACTCCGCATCGGGGAGGTGGGGAAGAGGTTTTCTGCATGGCCAGGCAGAAAGTCCAGAGACAGTGCCCCTGATGAGGATGAGCCATCAGCCCCAGACCCCCCTCAAGACCCCGCCTGGGAACTTCAGCCACCAGCTGCAGGGGACCCCCAAGCCAAAGCAGGTGGAGACACCCACCTTGGGAAAACACCACAGGAGAGCCAGGTGGGGGGCGAAGGGGGCGGCGGTGAAGGGCGGGGCTCTCCCTCCCAGCCTCTGTCTGACGACGAAGCCAAAGACGACATGTCCGTGTCCTCCTACTCCGTGGTCAGCACCGGCTCCCTGCAGTGTGAGGACCTGGCTGACGACACAGTGCTGGTGGGTGGCGAGGCTCGCAGCCCCGTGGCCACCACCCACGGTGGGGGTGCGGTTGACACAGACTGGTGCATCTCATTCGAGCAGATCCTGGCCTCCATCCTGACAGAGTCTGTGCTGGTGCACTTCTTTGAGAAGAGGGTAGACATTGGACTCAAGATCAAGGACCACAGGAAGGTGGAGAGACAGTTCAGCACCTCCAGCGACCATGAGCAGTCTGTGGTTTCGGGCTGAGGGCTCCAAGGCCGCTCTTCCCTCCTTCCCTTTGTTTTCTCCCTAAGGACACATCCCTCCAGTTCTCCCCAGAAGAACTGAGTTGTAAATGGAAAGAAGGCTGAACAGTCACAGCTGGGGCCAAGGCAGGGGGTGCCCAGCCCCTCATTCTGCCTTGGGCGTCCTGGCCCCTGCACAGTGCCGGGGGCTCTGTGATCTGCCCTTGCTTGCCCTGCACTGTGGCCAGGCCACACCCTGTCCTCCTCCTCCTCCTTCCCTGCAGCTGTGTGCTCTGGGGGCTTTCCTGCCACTGGGCACCAGGTAGGGAAGTGGTGTGCCTATTGGGCACCAACGTGGTGAGAGCTTCGAGATGCCTTCCAGGAGCCCCAAGCCTGCGTCTGGTTTGAGGACACAGGCAGAAAGCATCTACTGCATCAGGGTGGGTTACCTCCTGCAGATGTTCCTCTCAGTTTTCTTTCAGCTCATCATCCTCACCATTAACCTTAAACACATATCCCTCGGGTCCCGATATGTTTCCTTGTATTCATTTCAGTTGGCTAAAAAGAATCACACTATGCTCAATGCCTTAATAAATCCCTGAAAGAATGAAAAACCACACTGTGTAGAGAATTAATGTGACCCTCAACCACTGCTTCGACCTCCTGGCTTCTCCCCAGGCAGGCACTGGGCCGAGGCCGTACTCCAGAAGTTCCCAACACTTAGTCTCTCACAGGAAGTGAGGTTTCAAGACCCCAGGCAGGAGGGGGACGCGGAAGCTGCTGACGCAGACTGGGCAGGGCCTGTGCAGAGCCGCACCCACAGAGAAAACCTGCTCTGCAGGGGTCAACAGCCGGGGTCTAGGGGTAGGAGACAAGTGCTCAGCCTGGCTGCAGTAAGCCTCAGGGCTCAGGAAGCAGAGTGTAGGGACATGCGCAACAGGCTAAGCCATGAAGACGCCCTAGCTTTGCAGCAGGAGCTGATTATCATGTCCAGCATTTGCCCCCAACACAGAGTCACCCCTCATTTTTACTAAAAGATAACATCTCTGTGGCTCTTGTTTGGTTTTTTAATTGAATAGCCTTTTTGAGGCAAAACTTACATACCATAAAATTCAGTTGTTTTAAGCTACAATTCAGTGATTTTTAGTAAACTGAGAGCTGTGCAGCCATCGCCACAATTCAACTTTAGGATATTTCCATCACCCCAGAAAGACCCCTCCTGGCCATGTGCTGCCAACCCCTGTGCCCCCACCTCCCTCCACAGCTCCAGGTTCTAATCTGTTTTATAGCTCTTCAGATTTTATGGATGTTTTTTAAAATAAAAACCTCCATGATTTTACCTTGTGCACAACTGTTGAGTCACTTTTCAATAAATACAGCAAAACAACATCAAGGAAACATGACAACTTTTCTTTCTTTACAAGTCAGTAATGTAATTTCCTTTCTAGTATTTATACCAGCTGACTACATGCGTTGTCATAAATTAATTTCAAAGGATTACTGCCAGAAAGACTATAATGAAATTATAGCTCTTGGCCATAAGGAAACTAACGATATACATAAGAATTCCATGAAATTGGCAGTTTAAAATCAAATTGAGTATAATCAATTAGATTTAAATAATTTGGAATGTAAGTAAATGTTTTATATGCCATGAAGTATAAATCTGGGAGTGTACGAAAGAAAGTAAGCAATATAAAAGAGGACATTAGCCTTTTTATGTGATAAGTGTATAAAAATATACAATATACTTTCATCTGTTAATCATTTAACCTGGCATGATAGTCAAAATGTTTAATAACAAGAACATTTCCTGCATTAGTGGTGGATTCTTCACCAACTGAGCTATCAGGGAGGTCCAATAACAAGAACAGTAACACTAAACAATATGTGGATAATAAAAAGTTTTAAATATATTTGGATTCTGTAAATAAAGTGTATATTTTAAAACTCCTTACCAAGTGATCTGTTGTACCAAACTATTCATCAAGTCATTCTTATAATTTCTAAGAAAAATTATGCATATGAATTTTAAAGAATTACATGTTTCGTGCAGAAAAAGGGGAAAATACAGAACAGTAGAAAAGCAATTTTTCCTAGTATTTAAGACTACTATTCATTACTTTGGTGTTTTTCCCCCTGCATTTATCGTTTTCAAAGTTGGAACTCACATCATTTATGAAATTTTTATTCTGCCATTTTCATTAACTACAAAACTGCCAGAAACTCTCATCCACAATGATGAGCCTTGAAGATAAACAAAAACCACCCAAATGAGAACAGGAACGATTTATCAAGAGCTTGCTATAGAAGAGGAGTCAGCCACCATTTACCTGTGTTTGGCAGAGACTAAAAGGTAGTCAGAAGAGTGGGAAGGCCTTATGGTGAAAGCAAGGGAGGGCTTCAGGTATGCTCTGATCAGAGGCTGCTGGGAAGCAGGATGTCTGTGTGTGTTTGGTTTGGGAGCATAATCGGCTTCCTCTTGGCTGGTGGGGAAGTCTAAAAAGGTGGGCAACTGGTACTCATCGACCAAGTCCTGACTGCTGTAGAAGTTGTGGTTGGCTGGGGGGTGGAAGGGGGTCCGGTTGACGCACAGGTGGTCATAGGTGGCTCTGGTCACTGTATAGTCGGTCTCAAACATAATTTTTTAAGTTAATTGGTTTTTTCTAATATTGTGCAAAATTTGGAAAATATTAAAAATTTTAAATCACTCACGAAAAGTCATTTATAACCCTTGCCCATACACATTATATGCAAACAAATAATGCTTGGTTTTACCTAACTGCTATTGTGTATACTTAGTAACTTCCTTGCTTCCCAACAATACACATGCTAGCATTTTCACTTCAGACTCTGTAATGGACCTGCATAATGGTCCATTCTTTAGAATACTTATTTCCACTTTTTTCCTGTTATACTTTGGTTAACATTCGTGCATAAATAATACATCTGGGTGATTCTGATTATTCTTAGGATAGAGATAAACGCCAGATTGTTTTCCCCTTTAACCAGCATCCTATAAGAAAGATTCCTCTCTAACCACATTCTTGTCAGAATTGGGCGTTTTAAATTTTAACAAGATGATTTATATTGTCAGGCACGTGGGAATGTCTTGGGGGGATGCCGTTAGGGTCCCGGTTAGGCTGGTACATGAGGGATGCAATCTTTCCTCTCTGCTCTGAACGGGACTTCAGAGCGGAGCTTTCCTGGGACTGCAGGAAGGACTGATTTCGTTTTCAACCGCCGGGCGTTTCCGTTTCCCTCTCGGAGAAGCGTAGGGCTGGTGAACTGCCTATTTCCGCAGGATTCTCGGTGCTCCGGCTCAAAGGTTAACTCACCACCTCTGATCAGAGGTCCTGCAAATTCCAACCGTGGGCCCAGGGAGTCGGCCGGAGCAGGGAGGAGAGCTCCGGCTTGCTCTTCCCCTACTTGAAGAAGCAGAAGAAATGGGACCAGCAAAGGCCGGACCCCTAGAGCCGGCTGGAGACCCCGCCCCACCAACTTGAACCTTCCCCGGGAGTCCGGCGGAAACCGGCCTGGGCTCAGACAGAGAACCCCAAACAGTGCCTAACTCGCAGCATAGATACCCGACTCCTGAGGGCGCCCAGGAGCCCAGCTGACTGCTGACAAACGCTGGACAAGCCACCTGCCCAGGCGCGCAGGCGGGCCGGAGCGCCAGCGGCCGCAGCCCAAGGCGCACGCGCGTAGGAGGCGGGGCCTAGGCTGGAGCGGACGCAGGGCGTGAAGGGGCGGGGCCAGGGCGGACCCGGAAGCCGGCGAAAACGCGGAGGCGAGGGGGGCGCAATGGCGCCTCCTCAGCAGGCGCGGGTCCTTCGATGCTGCTGCTGCAGGCTTTTCCAGGCTCACCAGGTGGGGCCTCCCCTCCCCCGAGCGCGGGGATGGCGGGCGGGACGAGGTGGAGCCTTGAGAGGCTCGACCTCTTCCCCACGCGCTGCCCGCAGACTCTGCGGATTGTGCTTGAGGCCTGGACAAGTGATGGTATCAGTTGTGAGAACTAGGTTTTATTGAGGTCACTTCTCCATACCCGTTGTTGTGGTCTTTGGGGGCATTTTGCTTTTTGGTTGTAAGATTTGTAGAAACCAAGACTTACCTGGTGGTACAATGGGTCAGAACCCACCTGCCAATGCAGGGGACAGGGGTTTGATTCCTGGTTGGGGAAGATTCTACATGCCTCCAGGCACTTAAGCCCATGTGCAGAAACTTCTGGGCCCCATGAGCTACAGCTGTGAGCCCAGGAGCCCTAGAGCCGATGCTGTGCAACAAGAGAAGCTACCGCTATGAAAAACTGCGGCCCCACAGCTAGAGAGTAGCTCCCCCTAGCTGAAACCAGACGAAGACCCGGTGCACGCGTGTTCAGTGGCTTCCGACTCTGCGGCCCCGTGGGCTGTAGCCGGCCAAGCTCCTCTGCTAGGCCTGTCCAATCGCAAAGATCCTTTTATACCATGTTCTCTTGCTCTCTCTAGCCCCTGAGAGCTAGTCAGTTACTGCTTGTTCTTCCAGAGCTTTTATTATTTTTTAATTCATTTCTTACTTGCATTTGTAGCTATAGAAAGTACACAATATTTTTATGGTGTTTGAAAGTAGATGCTGAGAAGTAGAATCTTAGGCTATACCCACTTAAATTTGTAATAGATGTTGTTTGTCCTCCCTAGAATCATTTCAGGTTTTAGGTACTTCTCCAAAAGACCCGATGATTTTTGTTTAATTGTATTTATTTTTATGAATCAACCTAGACATCTTCACGATGTTAAGCATGCTATCTCATTCCATCTCTTTTTTAAAGAGTTTTTATTATGATTATTTATTAATTTGTTTTTGGCTGCACTGGGTCTTCATTGCCTTGGCTTCTCGTTGCAGAGTAGGGGCTGTAGCTGGGCAGGCTTCAGTAGTTGCAGAGCACAGGTCTAGTTGTGCAGAGGCCTAGTTGCACTGAGGCTTGTGGAATCTTCCCAGGCCAGGGGTCAAACCGGTCTCCGGTGCATTGGCAGGCAGATTGTAAACTGCTGGACCACCAGGGAAGTCCTCATCCCACCTGTTAAAGCAGCTTTGGTGCCTCTTGGTAACATTTTCTTTGTTGCCATTATAAATGGACTTTTCTTTTGTTATTCTTTGAACTAATGTTTGCTTATAAACTATATTAATTTTTGAAGACATATTAATTTTCTACTTAGAGCCTATGATATATATGTTACTAGTTTTAGTAGTTTTTCATTTGATTATCTTGGGTTTTAAAGAAATAAATAATAATATTCGTAAATAAGGTTAGTTTTTTTCCCTCCATTTTTATACCTCTTAATTGCTTTCTCTTTTCCAATTCTATTGGCTAGCACATCCAAAAAGACAGTAAATAATAGTGCAGATCCTTGACTTGTTCTTGACTTTCATGGGAATGCTCATGGTGATTCTGCATTGGTGAGCTGGAAGTAAGCCATTTTATTATGTTAAGAGAAACCCCATCTAGTCAGATTTATCAAGACTTGAAATGTTATGGAATTTTTTGAGAATCACAGATAGTAGAGATCTAATTTGATTTTGTTTATTAATATATGGATATGCAGTTTCCCAGAACTACTTATTAAATAGGCTCTTCTTTCTTCACCTTTATAATATACTAAATTTTCATACCTGTGTTGGTTTGTTTCTAGACTCTATTCTTTTCCATTGATCTCTTTAAATTTCTATTTCTGATCCAGTTCCAACTGTTTCAAATAATTATTGTAGCTATATTTCTGAAATTTCATTATAGGTGAAAAAGAGTCTCAAATGGACATGCAAAGCTTGTGGAAAGAAGCAGTCGTTTTTGCAGGTGAGTCCCAAGAAGCAGGGTGTCTGATACCCGTACTGGAAAGCGGGTAGGACCCAGCCATGCAGAAGTGTGTTTCTCATAGAACCCATTATTGACTCAAGTTCATTAGATACAGAGCTCTTGCTCCCTAAGATCATCTTCTTTCCGGAAGTAAAGTGGATGGAGCGGGGCCTGGAAGGTGACCTTCCTTTGTTTATTCAGTCATTTGGTATTTACTGAGTACCTTCTATGTGTAGGCATGGGAAACAGTGAAAGGTAAGAAGATGTCCTTATTGCCTGTACAGATCTGCCCTTGTGAAAGGGGAAGAGAAACTAAAACACACACATATAATTTAAAATTAAACTGAGCACAATGAGAGGAGAGTGCAGGGTCTGTAAGAGTAATCAGCCCTAACTGGGGATGGACAGACAGCTGTTAGAGATCCGAGGGTGTGAGAAGGGGCGGGCAGGGTGTGAAGGTAGTCAGGCAGTGGAAGAGCCCACGGACTGAAAGGAGCATGTTGTAAATGCTCTTGTTAGCCCGATTGTTTCACCCACATTACAGTTTTTTCCCAAGTCCATACTTACTGACCCACCTGATTTCTAATACCACAGTCTTCTCACTGAGCCTTTTGTTCACGTGCTCCAACCCTTGATTCTGCCTGTGCAGCCTCATCGCGTCATTCTCCTCCTTCAGCTGCATGGGCTTTTCCTTCTGACCTTGAAACAGTCCAGACCTGCTTCCCTCTGTGTGCTTGTTGTTGAGGCATCCCCTAGTTAATCTCACTTCCCTGTCAGAAATATATTCAAGTGTGTTTATCTGAGTATTGTCCATCTCAGACTGTAATAAATCCTTGTTTATTTTATATGTAGTGGTGTATATCTGTTAATCCCATATTCCTAATTTATTCCTCTCCCCCTCTTTCCCTCTTGGTAACCATAAGTTTGTTTTCTATGTCTGTGAGTCTGTTTCTGTTTTGTAAGTAAGTTCATTTGTATTATTTTTAGATTCCACATATAAGTCATATAATATTTGTCTTTGGCTTGCTTCACTCAATATGATACATCCTGGGTCTATCCATGTTGTTGCAAATGGCAATATTTCATTCTTTTTTATGACTGAGCAATATTCCATTATATACACACACACACACAGACATACACACACACTTCACATCTTCTGTATCCATTCATCTGTTGATGGACACATATATACCCTTTTTTCTACATTTTACTATATACTTTTGGTACCTAGCACAGTGCCTGTGAGATAGTGCTTGTTCAAGGAATGTCTGTTGAATGAATAAATGACCGGCCCCACATTGATGGGCACTTAGGTTGATTTTAGTTTTCATTGTTATGAATAACTCTGTAGTAAAAGAAAGAAAGTGTAGTTGTTCAGTTGTGTCCAACTCTTTGTGACCCCATGGACTGTAGCTCACTACGCTCCTCTGTCTGTGGGATTCTTCAAGCAAGAATACTGGAGTGGATTGCCATTCCCTTCTCCAGGGGATCTTCCCGATCCAGGGATTGAAGCCGGGTCTCCTACATTGCAGGCAGATTTTTTACAGTCTAAGCCACCAGGGAACTCTGTAGTGAAGCTTCTTAACAAATACCTCTTTCTTTACTGGACCAGTTATTTCCTTAGGACAAATTCCTACAAGTTAAATCAGAGGAATTCTTTCAACCAAGGTTCTCTTAGTTGCAGATTATAGGAAAAAACACTTCAGCAAAATTTAAAATGCACTGGTAAGGTAATGGGATATCTTGTGGGAATCCAGGGGAAGAGCTTTGCCCTTGGCCCTTTGAAGAACCAACCCCAAGAACTGACAAGCTGCCAGCAACACAAGCATCTTCTTTTCCCTCCGTCCTCCTCCCTTCACTGAGTTTCTCGCTGTACCTTCCTCCTTCTCTCCCTACCCCTTTCCTTTCTCTTTCTCTCCAGTTCACAGTAACATACTCCGCTCACAGACCACAGAATCTCATTTCAAACCAACTGAAAGAGCTGAGTCCCAGTTATAAACTCCTGGGAGAAATAATGTGATTGCTGTGGTTGACTCAGATGTCCACCTCTGGTCTTGTCAGTTGGGATGGGTAGGAGTGGGGACAGTTAGGTCATCTGTCGGTAAGTATGGCAGCTGAGGCCTGCCCTGAGATTGGGCCTCAGAAGTCAGGAGGCTGGCTGATGACTGTACATGTTTTAGATGTCAGCCTGTATTTCTGAATTCTTGAGGAAGGTTTGCCTTCTCTCAGCACCTCACATGCTTATGCAGTGGTGTATGGCTTAGGACTGACTAGGCCACATTAACAAACACACACCACGATTGTGGCTTAACACGCTAGAAGTTGCTTCTCTCGCTGTTTTTAACAGTCCTGGGAGAGTTGGAGATCGGCAGGGCAGCTGTACTTGGTGTGATCATTCGGGGACCCTGGCACCTGTCATCTTGAGGTTCTGCTGTTCCCTGAGGCTTGTCTCCTGTTGCCTCCAGCCCCTGAAGGTGCAAGACCAGGAAGAAGCTACCCAGGGAGAATCTGGAAGTGGTTCACATCCCAGTGGGCAGAGCCTAGTCTCATGGCCACACCTGACTGCCAGAAAGACTGGACAGTGTAGCCGAGTCTGCTCTCAGATGAGGAGAGAATGCGTTTCAGTGTTCAGAGAGCAGCTTCTGTCGTGCAAGAGAGCACACACCCTCCCGGTTATGCCATACATAAGTTGTCAGTCTTTGGGGAATTTATTTAATTTTTCAATTTATTTCATTATAGTTGAATTGTATTCACTTCTGCTGTGCAGCAAAATGATGCAGTTACACACACACACACACACACACACACACCCTTTTCCTTGGGGAATTTATTTAATTTTTCAATTTATTTCATTATAGTTGAATTACAATATTGTATTCACTTCTGCTGTGCAGCAAAATGATGCAGTTACACACACACACACACACACCCTTTTCCTGTTTTCCCTTACAGTTTATCACAGGACATTGAATGCCGCTCCCTGTGCTCTATAGTCGAGCACTGTTGTCGGTCCATTCTATATATACTAGTGTTCACCTGCTCACCCCAGACTCCCAGTCCATCTCTTCCCCACCCTACTCCCTCTTGGCAATCATAAGTCAGTTATCAGTCTTTTTAAATTTTGCCTTTACTCTCTGTAGTTCGTCTCCTCCCATTCTCATTTGAACTTGCCCCAAAGTGGATTTCACTCCCCACCAGTCTACTAAAATTGCTCGTGTCAGAGTCAGCAGTGGTCTCTGTGTTGCTGAAAAGAATGGTTGGTTCTCAGTCCTCAAGTGACGTGGCTTACTGGTGGCATTTGTCAGTTTGTCACTCCCTCCTCCTTGAAGTCTTCTCTTGGACTTCCAGCCACCCTGCCCCTGGTTTTCCTCCTGTCTTCCTGGCTTGCATTCAATCCTCTTTGCTAGTTTTTTCCCATCTCCTCATCTTCTACAGTTTAGAGTGCTCTGGAACTCGGTCTTTTGTTTTGTTTTTCACCTCTTCTCTAGCTACAGTCATTCCCTTAGTGGTCTGAGATAAGGCAGTCTTACAGTTCTCAAGTGTCTGTGTCAGACCCCAGGCCTGCCAGCGAACTTGTGTATGCTTCTAGCCACCTACCTCTCTGCTGGATATCTGACAAGCATCCCAAACCTGTATTCCAAAATGGAAGCCCTCCCCTTTCACCTGCCTACTTTTCCACAGTCATCCCCATCTCTTAACGGCCAAGTCTCTCTAGTTGTTTGGGCTAAAAACCTCAAACTCATCCCTGACTCTTCTTTTTCTTTTATACTCTTCATATGATCCATCGGCAAATTTAGTCACAATGTACCCACATTGTTTGCCCACTTGTTATCACAGTGGACTGAGTTGCCACAGTATTTGCAGCTCCCTCCTGACTGGTCACCTGTTTCAGGCGTACAGTCTCAGCAGCACAGCCGAAGGGTCCGACATGTGCAGGATCATGTCAACCTTCCAGGTTGGAGCAACGTATATGTGCCTTCAGACCGGGCCCGGACAGGGCAGGAGACAATGTGAAATGGGAAGGTGGGGCCCCTTTTCAAAAGCAGGAAAAAACCGCTATTAAAGGTTCTAAAATATTAAGCTCTTCTTTCATGATCTCCTGACTTTTCCTAATGTTTTTATTTACTAATGGTTTAAATATTAATTTCTATTTATTAATTTATTTGACTGCTCCAGGTCTTAGTTGCAGCGTGCAGGATCTTTTCGTTGAAGCATGTGGGATCCAGTTCCCCCACCAGGGATAGAACTCAGGCCCCTGCATTGGAAGCTTGGAGCCTTAGCCACTGGACCACTAGGAAAGTCCCTATTTACTGTTTTTTTAATTTACTATATAATTTATTCCTGTGTAAAGAAAAACTGTTAGTTTTAACCAACATTTTAACATGTTAAAAGCTAACATTTAAATAGTGAAACACCATTTAGACTGTGCAACACTGGTTTTAAATGCTAAGAACATGTAGTACGTATGTGGAACATATACAGAATAATATAAGAGCAATAGTACACATGTAGAATGATCAAAATTGCACACTTTTTATTTTGTAGCTCATATATGCCTACATATTTTATTCTTAAGAGTGGAGATGTTGCACAAAATTAACTATTTTTACTTCACTGCTTGACACCCACCCATCCTACCTACACTCTCAGCCTTCCGCTCGCTGATGAGTAAGGGAGTACCAAGACGAAAAGGAGCTGTGGGTTGTGCTTCTGTCCCTGTTTTCTGTGGCGTTTTCAGCACAGGCTGTTCCAGGGAGGTAATCGGAATAAGAAGAGATAGGATAGATTTACTTGGTTGGTGATGCTTTTGGTAGAATACCCTTGCCTTCTTTCTGCAACTGAAGCAGGTTCTGGTTCTCCTGGAAGCCCTGGCCCCTCAGGCTGCGGGCGCCCCTCACGTACTTAGGCACAGACAGCGCACGCTGCCTGAACCTGGAGTCTCACTGGACTTTGACACCCTGTGAGTTCACTGGAACTTTGTGCTTCTGGGGCATCGGGCATGCTCTGTGCAAACAGAGTGGCAAGGAACAGTGGACACATTTGCTAGTCACGACTTAAAAACATGTTTCATTATCTCATCAGACTTCACTTACACAACACAGGTTCAAAGATGAGATTATTAAGTATTTCAATAAAGAGAGCAGAGCACATCTCATGCCCATAAGGCTGACTTTTCCTGTAACAGGGCCTGCACTCTCAAACTTCATCTCCTACCCTCTCTGCCCTAGATCATTCAACTCCAGCCACTTGGCCTCTTCGCTTTTTCTCCAAAATCCCAGGCTAAAAGTGTTTGCACTCCTTTCCGTTTCATTGCTTCTGCTATCTACATGGTTTGTTCCCGCTTGTCTTCCTGTTTTGTGCTCAGATGTTACCCTCCCAGTGATCCACCCCTTGACCTCTTGAGCACCTCGTATAAAATCACCTACTGTGTCTCCTCTCTGCCCCACCCCCACTGCATTGCCTTGCTTTCCTGTGTAGCCCTTCTCACCATCTGATGGCCGAATAGGTGTCTTATGTGCTTATTATCTGTCTCTTACACTACAGAGCTCCGTGATGGCAGTGATGTTTATGCACTCTTGTATTGTCCTTCCCTAGTTCAGGTCCTGGCACATAATAGGTGCTTAATAAATATTTATTGAACGAATGAGTGAGTACTAAGTGAAAAATAAGTATCACATCTGTTTTATATTGTTCTGATTATGAGTGAGGGTTAAGTATCATTTCATGTTTATTGGCAATTTGCATTACTTCTCTTCTGAATTCCTTACGTTTATTAACCAATTTGTTTGGGGTTTGGATTGAGTTTGACTTTGATATGTAAAATTAAGGGTGATAGTGGGCAGCCAGATTGACTGAAATTAGTCCCTGAGAGTGTTAGTTTGTAAATCACTGCAGAAATGGCAATCATTGTTTGAGTTCCTGCGTGGTGCTTTAGGCCTTGCATAGTACATTTTTAGCCTCCCTGAGTTGTATCTCTAATGGCTCTATTTCTCAGCATTCTGTCAATACTTTTTAAACTTCATATCTGTGTTTGTTTCTCAGGCTTACGGTGAGGGCTCTGGTGCTGACTGTAGACGCCATGTGCAAAAATTAAACCTGCTGCAGGGACAGATTTCCGAGCTGTCACTCAGGTATGATAGTTTGAGAGAGGCCTGGTTATCTTGCCCTATTTTCATCTTGAGTGGATGGTGGGAGTATATGATGGAGAAATCCCTTAGATTTCCATGTCTAACAACGTGGCGATTAGATACTGAATAATCTTCCTACTGAAGTTAATTTTAAAATGCCAGCCACGATATTTTAAAGGCACTGACGAGATGACAAGAAGGTAAGTAGCCATCAGAGATCAAAAACGAAGCAAGAGCCAAAATCCGGAGAATAAGCTGGGCTGCTGGGCGTTTGAAACCTGTTGCCCTGCAGCTTCCATGTAGCTGGGAAGGAGGCGAGAGACAAAGACGAAGTCTGTTCAATGTGGGAAGGTCAGTCGGAGACCACCACATAAGGCTGAATCCCCAAAGGACTGCACGCTTGGTGCACAAATGAACTGGAAATGCAGCCCTCCGAGCTAGGTTGACCCATCCTGTCTTGCCCTTGGCACTGGCTAAAGAGGGGAAATGCTGCTCCAGGATTTCGTAAGCACAAGGAGGCTCTCACGTGACTGTTCAACCTTTTACACGCGCTGTGTGAAAAGTCTCAAGCTGAGGACTTATTTTATTTTATTGACTGTGCAGGCTCTCCACTGCTGCATAGGCTTTTCTCTAGCTGCAGTGAGCCAGGGGCTCTCTACAATGGTAGTGTGTGGGCTTGTCGTTGCGGCTGATGGCCCTGTTGCAGGGTGTGGGATCCAGGGTGCCTCGGCCTTAGTAGTTTCAAGCTCCGGAACACAGACTCAGTGTGGCAGACAGGCTTAGTTGCTCCGTGACACGGGGGATCTTCCCAGACCAGGGCTCAAACCCATGTCTCCTGCATTGGCAGGCAGATTCTTTATCACTGAGCCACCAGGGAAGCCCTTCAAACTTATTTTTAAATTGTCCCAGGAAGCAGAGATAAATGTTGCTCCTTTTTGGAGCAATACATCTTCAACCCAGACATCAAAGGATATATAAAATTCCAAGTGACATATACCCAGAGTTAAAGATCATTTAACTTACTTAAGGAAGCATGTCACCATGAGCAAAAGACAGCAGAAATGACAGAGAAGTCAGATCCAAAAAGAGTTCAGAATACATAATATTGTATGTTTAATATATTTAATGAAATTAAGTGAGGATGGTTGATACAGGAAGAGCAAGAGACTTAAAAAAAAAAAACCAAAACGTTTGTAGAGATGAGAAGTTTAGTCACTGAAATTAAAAGTGTAGTGGCTTCCCTGCTGGTGCAGTGGTTAAGACTTGGCCTTGCAGTGCCAGGGACACGAGTTTAAGCCCTGGCACTGGAAGGCCCCACGTGTCGTGGAGCAGGCAGGCGTGCACCGCAGCCATTGAGCCTGTGCTCTGGAGCCCGCAGGTGGCAGCACAGGGCGCCTGCGCGCCTGGGGCCTGTGCTCCCAACAGGAGAGGCCGCCACAGCGCGAAGCCCCCCACCGCGATGAGAGAGCCCCGCTCACCACAAGCGGAGAAGGCCCGAGCGAAGCAGCGACGACGCAGCACAGCCGAAATAGGAGTAGATAAATCTTTTTCAAAAAATGTTTCGTGGACTGTTAAGCAGATTAAGTGCAACTAAAGACAGAACTGGTGAAATGGAAGATAAATCTGAAGAAATTATTCACATTCTCCATGTGAATAAGACAAAAAGGTGGAAAATATAAAAGTTCAGAGACATGAAAGATACAGAGATGAGTTCCAGCAGAAGATAATAAAAAGAATGGGAAAAGGAAATACTTGCAGAGAAATGAACAGAACTTTTTCCAGAATCAAAGGGCTTACAATCTTAGATTTAGGAAATGTGTCTAATTCCAAACTGGATAAAAACATTGTGTCTGTAGCAGATCCTAATGAACCTATCCAAAAGCTACTAGAACTAATAATTTAGCAAAATCACAAGGATACATGGTCAACATACAAAACAAAAATATAAATTTTATTTTTATATAAATGCAGTGAATAGTTGGAAAACAGTTTTAAAAATCAAATGCCATTTATAATACCATGAAAAAATAGGATACTTAGGGATAAATATAACCAAAAAATGTGCAAAATATTTTCAGTAAAAATTACACAACTTTGCTGAGAGAAATTTAAAAAAGATCTAAACAATGAAATATGTTCATAGATTAAAACACTTAGTATTGTCATGATGTCAGTTCATCCTAAATTGATCTGTAGTGTCATCTTAACCCCAGTCAAAATTCCAGCAGTTTTTTTTTTATGAAATTGACAAACTGATGCTAAAATGTATATAGAAATGCAATTGCCATATCTATTTTGATAACAAAACTGGAGGACTTCTATAGCCTGATTTCAAGATTTACTGTAACACTACAGCAATCAAGACAGTGTGATTGTGAATATACATTTTGTGGTATTTTCATACAGTAGAATACTACTCAGCAACAAAAATGACATGGGCAAACCTCAGAAACATTGCTAAGTGAAAGATGTCAGACAAAAAGACCAGATACTGTAAGGATGAGTAGTTTTTACCTACAGAGGCAGATAAGGGAATTTTAAGGTGATGAAAATTTTCTAAATCTTCCTAATTATATATTTTCTATATCTTGATTGGAGTAATAGTTTCAAAAATATAATACCAAGCTCATCTAATGTACCAACACTTAATTTGGTACCTTTTAGGGTAGGTTAATTATAAATTATACATCAGTAAGTTAATTTTAAAAGATAAAACCCACCCTTTGACACCACAGCATAATGAAATTACAGAACATGGAAAACAAAGGGAAGAACTAAAATGTAGCTGGAGAAAAGAGAGATAACCTACTGAGAAATAGTAGATGCCCAGTTCTCAGGGTAACATTAGAAGTGAGAAGACAGACCATACCTTCATATTGCAGAGAAAAAGGTTCGTTGTTGGTGGAGTTGAGTTCCCAATTCATAGTATGGTGGGCAGAGTTCTGGTCAGTAGCAAGCAGGGCACTGCTCAGCTGGACACTGGGGTATCCAATGTGGGCATTTCACATGCGTGATCTCATTTCATCTTCTTCGTCATCTCATGAGGATCATTGGCTTTGGTTTACAAATGAAGAAACTGACATGGAGGTGCCCACATTTGGTGGACTTGGGTTTCCATTGTAGGTCAGTAGAGAGAGTTCCAGTGTGATCATGTGATGTAGCAACCTGTCAGACATGGGTGGTTGTGGCTTCGGTGCTAGCCTTCAGCCCTTGAACAATGCGTGTTTTAATTGGCCATCCGGCTCCACTCGAGGCTGCAGAAGCTCCGGCGCCTCACTGTGCTCTATGTGTGATGAAAAACCCCTGCTATCCATGGGAGGCTGGGTGAAGACACATCTAACTGAGGAAAATGCCTTATCTCGTAGCGGTTGAGATATAACACTCCTATGACCCTATGCAATGGGGACATCGCCACTGCTGATGGGAGGGACTGTCAGAGTTCAGCTGAATTAGTATCTGTATTCAGGCCCTGAGCAGGGCAGGTGCACATGTGGTGTCTCATTTATCTTCACAGTCCCCTTGCATTATTATCCCCATTTGTAAATTAGGAAACTGGGATACAGTGATGTACCCAGAGCCACACAGTCTATGACAGCCAGTCTTTGGAAAAGCCATGATGCCAACTCTGGTCTCTGAGTGAAGAGCACCCCTTCTGCCCTGTGTCACTTTTCCTGTTGCTCCAAGGGACAGATGGTTCCTCTGCCTTCTGAACTGCTGGAAGATGTGCAGACATCGAAACAACAGAGAAAAGTTCAATCAATAAGTCCCCCTAAGCAGGCTTTGACAGCCATTGTTAAGTCTGTGCAGCCTACTGTTCCCATCTTCACTGTCCTTCATCTTCCTGGTCATTTTACAAAGAACAGTTGTACAATCTTTCCCTAAGGTCTCTGGGAGAATCCATAAGTGCCAATGAGGGAGAAAACGTGGATCCTTGGCAGGCTGCCCGTGCAAGTCCACAGGTAAGCCAGCAGCACCATCGCAGCCCAGCTACCGGAGCCAGCTGTCACGAAGAGGTTCTGTTTGTTCATTCATTCATCATTTGTTCTGTCCACAGATGTTGATGTCACTAACTGATGAAAACTTGACTTAAAGCTGCAGGGAATACAAAAATGAATAAACCTTTCCCTTTTATAAGTATGTAGACAGCCATGTAAACAAATATTTGCAATACTATGAAAAGGGCTTTTTCTTCTGGCTGCTTGGCAAATTCTTCTGAACTTAACTTGAACTTCACCTCCCTGTCCTCTTCCCCCTGTTCTGAAGCACCCTAGGCGGGGAAAGGATGCTGTTGTAAGGTGCCTGGGTTTCCATGTTCCCTTTCTCTGGATGAAGCCATGCAGCAGGCTCACGTTCTGTTGTTCTGTCTCGAGGCCTCAAAGTAGGTGCTCAGTGTTGGGTGGGCTGTGTGTCAGAGCTCCAGTGACTGAGCAGATGACACCATTGGGACATCCAAGATGCCATGGGTACGAGAACACGGTCCTGCCAGGGACAGGGGAGACAACTGTTTTGACAGGCTCCCTGGAGGAGCTCCACCTTTGATCACAGAATCATGCTGACAGCGTCTGCACTCCAGGTTCTCTTCATATTTTTCTTATAAACAGAGGAGGTACTCTTCAGCACACCACTTTAACACATCAGCTCTTGCATGTTTTTGAGTCTGTACTTTCAGTTTCTTTACTTACAGACTTAATCTTTCATCATTGCTTCCGTAAGAAATTCTTGTTTGCACCATCCTGGAATTTTCACTTGTATCTTTTATGTTGCTATATAGCTTTCAACGATTTACATTTTTAAAAAGTGTCTACAGATTATAGTGGATTTTCCAATATTTATTCCCTTCTTATTGGGCATTTACCAAACTTCTGCTGTTATAAATATTTGCTACTATTGGTAACACTTTAATGAGCATCTTTATGCCTTCATCCTCATTTGAAACTATTGGACCAGGGAGAGTGGACATTCACAAAGGTCTTGGCAAGCTGTGGTTTGAAGCTTTCCCCAGGTGTGTGCCAGTGTGCTCTGTTGAGGACCGCTCTCTCCCATTACCTGCCAGTCAAATTCCTTTCCTGGTGGTGGTGTAGGCATGGGTCCTGAGCCCCCTGGGCCTCGGCGTTGCACTGGGGGTTTTCAGTAAAGGTGCCTACTTTTGAGAATAAATTTACTTCCCAATTCTGTAGGAAAAACTCCAGCCCTCAAAGAACCGCTGGCTGAAATATCTGGAAAGGGACTCCAAAGAACTGGGGCTGAAAGAAGGAGGAGTGTGTTTCAACAGACAGCCTTCATCCGAGAGAGAAGAGCCAGACCCTCTGTCCAGCACAGGCCTGCCTCGGAAAAGGTGCAAGCCCATCACCATGTAGCCTCATCCACCCCACCTAACTGCCCCGTGGTTTGGGGCAGACAGGCAGCTGCCATGGCTGGCAGGGAGCCTGAGGGTCGTGAGCCAGCAGACACCATCAGCACAGGCCCCTGGCCAGGCACCGGGCTCAGAGGGGGGGCTGAGCAAGACGCCAGCAGAGGCACCTCTTGGGCTTTCACTTGGTTCAGAACGTCTAGACTGCGCTGACCTCAGGGAGGAACTCGGGGGCAAGGTTGACAGGGCGAGGTGTGGCCAGGGAAGCCAGTGGGCCTGCGAGATTTTAGCTGAGAGCAGGAAAGGCCTGTGTCACAGGTCTCCTCTCTCAGCTTAACCTGCATTTCAGTGAGTTTGCTGAGAGACTGCCTCATCTAGGTGTAGGTTGGCTCTTCCAGGGCGGATGCTTAGGGGAGGTAGATTCCAGTTCAAAATAAGAACTTTCTAGCAACTGCAAGCGATAGAGCAGAGAAACGGACTGACTTGGATGTCGTCGGGCAGCCTGTTGTTGGCAGCAGGGCAGAAGCTGAGCAGCCACCTGGGAAGCTGTCAGGGAGGTGTCAGAGCAGGCGGCCACGTCAGGAGCAGACCACTGCTGTGGTAGGGCTAGGCTGTGTTTTGTACAAACTTTATTGAAGTATAGATGCTTTATAATGTTGCATTAGTTGCAGGTTTACAAAGTGATTCGGTTATATATATAATAGTAATACATATGTGTGTGCACATATATATTCTTTTTGAAATTCTTTTCCATTATAGATTATTACAAGGAGGACTGGATCATTTTTTTACATTGTTGATTTTTTTTTAATATGGACCATTTTAAAATCTTTGTTGAATTTGTTACATTGCTTCTGTTTTATGTTTTGGTTTTTTGGCCAGGAGGCCTGTGTGATCTCCTTGACCAGGGATTGAACTCCGCATCCCTTGCATTGGAATGCAAAATCTTTACCACTGGGCCAGAACTAGTTTTCCCAGGACTAGATTCTTGACAGCACTTTCTCTGCCAGGAAATGGAACCAGAGCACAGTTCAGCCTCCATGTGTCCCTGATGTCCAGGACTCCAGAAACTGTGAGGTCACCTTGAAGTCCTTGAAGGTCAGTGTCCCATGGCAATTGAGCACACGCTGGATTTTTTAATTGTTTTTTGGACTATTGAAAGACTTATACCCTCCCCGCCCACCGTCCCCAAAGTCCAACTTCCCATGTGTCTTGTTATGTCTTAAGCCAACTCCTTTCTCTGGCCTGCACTGTTTCCCTGCTGTTACTCATGTTAACTGGGTCAAAAGGGCAACTTCATGCCTTGGAGACAAGTGAGGTTGACCAGTAGGACTTTTCTGCATCAGGACCATTCTCTTCATTCTACATGGAGTGCCAGGTCTTCGCCAGACTGTTCAACTTGGGACCTGCCCTGGATTTCTGAGGAACTGTCACCTTCATTTACCCAGGTGGGTTCTTGTGAATTTGGGGCACTCTCTTCACCTAGGACCTGCTCTTGTTATTGGTGCTTCAAACCTAGCAGACCCCACCATACTTTCCAGGCAACAGAATGAGGGTTTTGCTTTATGCTGTCAATAGGAGCCACAGGCATCCAGACAGAGGAACTCTGCCAGGCATACGTCACTGCTGCACCAACATAGGCCAGGGTTGACCTGACCAGCTTCAGACAGTAGGGGAGAGCACCCATTCAAAGCCAAAAGGCAGAGATCAAACTTGGTGTTGCTACTAACTAGCTGTGTGACACCCAGGTAAGGGTATAGCCCCGAATCTCCAAATTATACAATACTGAGTGTAACAGTTACTGATGTACCAGTTCCTGGGCTAAACATTTTAACTGCATTGTCTAATGCTCACCATAAGCCTGTTTTGTTTTGAAGGTGACGAATCAAGCCTGGCACAGGTCCAAAGAGGCCACAGCAAGTCAGCCCCAGAGCGGACAGTCTCTGATTGATTGCTACCAGTTACCCAGAGCCTCTTCCATGCTGCCTGGGGGTGGTGCTGCAGGGTCCCTCCTATCATTGCTTTCACATTGCTTTGTAGGTAGTGACACTCAATCTTCAGTGAACCCTTATTCCTGAGGGAGAAGGGAGAAGCCAGGCCCCAGCAACACTGTCACATCCCGTATCTACAGCTTTAAAACCCTTGACATGGCTATAGAGACCTTTCCTCCCGTCTGGCGATGGGCACATGGTGTTTCTGGACGGTTTTAGGGCCCTTCCTGATCACACCCCAGGCATTCCCTCATCTGATTCTAAGGTCCCAATGAGATAGATCCACTGATCACATGAGAACATCTTGCTCTTTTGGAAAGCCTGGTCATGGAATTTGGAGTGAGAGAGGGCATTTATTTCCTGTGCTTTGCTTAATCTCAAAATCAAGGCATATCCCTAGCCTGCCAGCCTACAGGATAGTAAACAACACGGAGCAGAAATTGTCAGTGCCCAGAGGTACCGTCCAAGATTAACGCGGGCCCAGGACCCACTCCTCCCTGTCCCTGAGTCTGGTAGGCACTTGTTCCTCTGAAGGGAAAACGTGCCATCACCTTGTGTTCCCACTGCAGGACCATGCTGGCCTGGCAGGGAAGGGCAGAGGGAGCAGTCGTGAGGACCAGGACACCGTGGAGCTTGTTCCCCAGGGGGAACCACCGTGCCCTGCCCAGCAGGTCAGGACTGTGTCTAAGTGGGAACAATGTCTTATGCCACTTGGAAACAGCTCACATTTGGACACAGAGCCCCTTACCCCTCTCCAGAGAGGCCTCCGGCCAATCCAGGCAGCACAGGCTGAGCAGGGGACCCCCAGGGCCCAGATTCCCAGGGAAGAAGGCCTCTGCAGGATCCCCGGTGCACTCCAGTCTCCTCAGACCACACATACTCCCATACCTGGGCCCAAGAGGCTTTGTGGGAGGATCCCTGAGCAGTCACAGGGTGCAGGCCCTTGGGCAGAGGGTGCGCCCCTGGTCAAAGGGGTGCAGGCACGTTCTTCACTCATGCGTCTATATGACCTTTTTAAAACTGGAGAAGACTTCGATGACGATCTGTAAGTTGAAACTAGTATGTTACTCTTGTAGACATATTTGTTACATGAACCCTTCACTTCATAGTGACCTCTGCCACTGAAAACAGGGTTCCCCAAGTTGCTTTCAAATAGTAGGACTAAGGATGACGTATGGGAACTACAAGAAGCGACAATAAATATGACCATCAAACAGATTACCTCTTGTACCATCTTTGATTAAAGTGCTTATAATTTTAATTAAAATTGTTTACAAATATAACAGAATGGCTACAAAGCGATTTTAACTTTAAAAGCAGCCAAGACGTTTGGAAATGGTAACTACAGTGGTTATGAAGTAGGCAGTACTCTGAACATCAGTTCCTCTGTCAGCCCTTATTCTCAGATGTTAGACACAGTCCTGAGCTGTAATCACTACAGGAACAGCCTCTTCCACCCCAACTGAATGCTGGTGATACTTTAGCTAAATTCAGAGTATATCAAATTTCTAGCAGAAAATCAATTACATCAGTGTACTATAGTCATTAAAAAAGAAACACCAGAAAGCCATTTGGCAAGATCTATTCTGGACTGCTGGTATAATCCTGCAGGGAGAGTGCGGGTAGGAAGCAGCATGGTCTCCACGTCCTCCCCAGCAAGGAGTCTCTCGCTCTGCCCCAGGGGGGCCCCCCTCGCTGCAAGGAGCCAGACATCCATGGGAAACTGATGAATGTTTCTCAGAATCAGCACTCACACACTTGGCACTCCCCGCTCATGTCACTTGTTCTACTGCCCTAAATGGCTTTGTGCATTCCCCACCCCCCCGATTCTGAAAAAAGAATGATGAGAAATTGGCACTTAGAGGCACTGGGGTTCTACACTAACTCAACACAACTATGAGACAAGAAAGGGGACACAGAATGGGTGAGCAGACATCATCACAAAGGTGGTGGGTGTTTTGAATACTGGATGGTGTCCAGGGCAGCCCCAATGTCGTAATTCTTGGTCTGCAGAAGCCTGGTGAGCCAGCCGCCTTCATCAGAGAACCCCATGGATAGCATCTGGGAGAGGGACTCAATCAGCCGGGGGTCAGCTTCTGCCAGAGAGAGTAACGACAGCCATGAGAAGGAGGCACTGCGCCCCAAATGTGACCTGTACCTGGCCCTTTTACAAGGCCTTAACCCTCACAGGCACCCTTCAAGGCAGGGACTGTCAAACTTTTTCTGGAAAAAAGAGTAAATATTTTAAGCTGCTTTGCAGGCTGTTCGCTCTGTCACAAATATTCAACTCAGCTGTTGAAGTTATAAAAGTAGCCAAACAATATGTAAACAAATGAGCATAGCTATGTTCCAAAAAAACTTAGGAACACAAATTTGAATTTCATCTCATTTTCTCCTCTTGACTTTTTTCCAGCCATCATAAAAATGAAAAAATCATTATTGGCCCATAGGCCATAGTTTGCCACTCCCTGCTTCAAGGCAGAGAAGGTAAGTACTGGCAGCCCAAGGGCTCAATCTGGCGCTTAGATGGGTTTCCACCTGAATGATGTTTTAAACGTCTTTGCCATGTGACAGTGATGAACCAGAGCAGGGTGTGAGTGGCCTCTTGTATTCAGTGTGTGTTCTCCAGGCTGCCACACTGTCCACCCAGCCCTATTGCCTTCCACACCACCCACTTTACTAGATGCCTTCCTGCCTGGCTCCTACTGGAACCGACTGTGACCCCTGCTCTAAGATTAGCACCTTCCATGAGGAAACAGTGGCGATGGACTCCGAGTCCGCTTCTAGCAGTGCGTGGCAGCGCCCAAAGCCAGTGCTACTGCCATATCACCTCTGCCTTCATAATTCTGGGTCTGTGTGTTAAGTTTTAGAAATTACTAAAACTAGCTGAGCTTACTAAGGCTCAGTATAGACAAAGAGGACAAAATCAACTCCTAGATTTCTCCTACATCAGTAGACAAGCCCTGCAGTAGAGAATGTAATGCCTGTCTGTGTTGCTAGAAGCGTGATAGGATGCTCTGAATGGAAAAGGGAGTAACATAAAACTACTTGAAATCCCTTGCCTGGTGGCAGATGTGGGTACAATGCAGCTTCCTTCAGTCCTGTGGGTCCTTCCTGGGAAGGATCCAGAGAGCTTGGCCCTTCAGATTCAGGCATCTGTAAAGACTGGAGTTCACCTGTAGACGGGTCCACCTCTTTTGAAGACAGATGAGTCCAGTCATCATCTCCTCCTGAACAGTTATCAGACTCCATCTGTTCCTAAAACAAACCCCCCAGTGAGCACAAGAATGAGAACAACATGCCACTTGACCACAGCCTCAACATCTGCGAGAGACAGGGCCTGCAGGACTAGCAAGAGTCCTTCTGCCTTACAGAGTGGAGGGCTCACAGGACAACTTAAATACCACCAACAACTCTGCAACGGAAATGGGTTCTGCTGGCTGTGTGAGTGCCAGAGGGGCTGTGACTCAGGTGCTGGGAGAGGCTCTGGACATATTAGGGGGGGTGCTTGCCTCAGGCTGACCCCCTGACTCCAGGGCGATCTTATTCATTTGCTCTGTCAGAGACTCTGCTGTGCCTGCCACATCCCCGTCTGGCTTGCTGGGGTCAGAGCAGCAGCTGCTTGGCTGAGAGCTACACTTCTCTGTGCTGGAACTGCCTGCAGAGGCGGGGGTCAGGCGGCTTCTCTTGCCTCCATGTTCCACATCAATATCGACTTCAATGCCTAGAAGCCGGGGGGAAAACAACAACTTGATTAATAGTAACATCCCAGGTCAGCTTCAGAGCCACGAAGTCCATAAGCAGACTGTTTTCCCCTCACTGTGCAGGACGGCAGCTGCACAGCAGGCACGGCCAGGCCCTCAGAACAGGCTGAGAGCTTGTGCCACACAGCCAGCCAGAGCCCCTGCACCACAGCGCGGAGGACGCTCTTGTCCTCACTGGAGGCATCCCACTTGCGTGCGGGGGGCCTAGTGATGTGAAAAACACGCACGCTGAGCATGCTAACCCTGCTCAGGCAGGCAGACAGCCCACGCAAGCTTTGTGTGAGACCCATGAGATGGCGTGTCCACACGCCGGGGCACATGCTCACTGAAGGGAAGGGAGGGCACACTCCCTGGGTTTATGTTATTAATTCAGTTTACTTTCTCAAAGGACATGTGCCATGTCTTAGAGTGAAGCAATCTCAAAAGAATGAGGCCTTCCTCGGTGGTTCAGTAGTTAAGAATCCTCCTGCCAATGCATGGGCCCTGGTCCAGGAAAACCCCACACGCCATGGAGCAACTAAGCCTGTGTGCCACAACTACTGAGCCTGTGGGCTGCAAGTACTGAGCCCGAGTGTCACAACTACTGAAGTCTGCACACTCTAGGGCCTATGCTCCACGAGAAAGGCCACTGCACCAGAACTAGACAGTAGCCCCCACTTGCCCCAACTCAAGAAAGCCTGCACGCAGCAAGGAAGACCCAGTGCAGTCACATATAAGACTATAGAATGGATAAACATCAAGGCCCTACTGTATAACATAGGGAACCATATTCAATATCCTATGATAAACCATAATGGAAAATACACGTATTACTGAATCACTTTGCTATACAGCATAATTAACATTATAAATCAACTATACTTCAATAAAATTAAAAAAGCAACATAGATTCCCTGCCCCCACCACACAGCCTGGCCCACCCTCCAGAGAGAACTTTTAACTGACAATGTGCTTTTTCTGTCTTTCCTGACTACTTATGTTTACTGTTTATTTCTTACTCTAGATGATCAACACTTTATCTCCCCTTCCCCTATCCTTTCAAAAACTCATGTTTTTGTAAAAACAACATTCAGTGTTTATGTTAGTGCCACTATATATATAGTGTTCTTTGCTGGCTAAGGAGTGGGATTATTTCCGCAGTTTCCTGTATTTGTAGCAGTAACGATGCTTTCTTTTTCACTTGGTAGCTTTCCCCGTATTCTCTCATAGCTTCTCTATAGTGTATCCAATACCCTGGTTTTCCCCTGTAGACTATCCCAGGCAGGCATGGCGCTTCCCGCTCCAGCCGGGCCAGGCAGCTCTCTGGACCAGAAGCACAGCACCTATGCCTTTCCTTCCATCCTGACAACTACGTTGTCATGCTCGCATCTGTTGGGCGCCACTTTCAAGTACCTCTTTCTGCATTCTGGGCTTGTTTCTTTATTTTGGCCAGAGAGACGCTTCAAGCCCAAGTAAGATGATTAGGACCTTGTCAGTTTCATTCCTGACAACTTTGTTTTGCTTCCACACTTGATCATTTTAGTTGAGTACAGAATTCGAGGCTGAAGACCCGTTTTGGTGAGCCTTTTGAAGTTAGTCTTCCAGCTCTTAATGTGCTCCTTAAGTCTGCAAGCTTTTACAGCAGCCTTGAGAGTTTCAGGAGTCTCTCCTTGTCCCAAGGGTTCTGACAGGACACTTTAAAGCTTTGGTGTAGGGTCTTTTTCAGTCCTTGTCCAAGGCATCTGGGGTCCTTTTTAATCCAGAGGTTAATGTCCTAGTGCCAAGAGACTGTCTTGTATTTGTTCATTTCCTCCCTTAAGTTTACTCTGTTCTCTTTCTGGAATTCTTTCATCTTATACTGGGCCTCCAGGATTAATCCTCAACTTATCCTATCTTGGCTACTTTCCTCCATCCATTTTCCATCTTCCAAAGTTTGATGAGATTGTTTTATCTTGTCCTCCATTATTTTTCCCCTTTTTCTTTATCCATGTTTCTTTACTTATTTTGTTTAACCCCCTCACTATTATTTTAGTAGAGCATGAGGAGCAGGCAGAGAAGATAAAAGCAGGCTCAGCAACAGGTACCCCCATCTGCAATATTTACATTGTTTTTCTTCTTCCATTTCCCCTGCAGTTTTCATGATGAAACATTCAAATAATCAGAAAAGACAGAACAGTACAATGAATACCCATATACTTTCTAAAATGGGTGAATGATGTGACTCTTCTGTAATGGATTATTGAGATTACTGAACTAGAGTTTTTCCAACTTGATAATCTGAGACTTCAGGGCTTACAAGGCTGTACCACAGTCTCTGCCCTGCTATCCCCAAAGCCTCTGTGTAGGGCATGTTTGTGGAAGACTCCATGGCCCTGCTATTTTACATCCTAGGTGTCAGTAGCTGTGACCTCCAGCCAGGTACAGCCCTGGGCTCATGCTCTTGCTCAGCTGGCTCACAGCACTTATCAAAAAAGGTTTAGTCGCTCACTGTACAGACTGCCCTCTGAGAGGTATTAGTGGTTACATCCCCTCTGGGCCCCTGCTCTGGGAACTAATTTCCCTTGTAGGCAGTTAGTAGACTGAGTCATTCTGTTAGTTCCTCAAAAGAAAGGAAAATACCCAAAGACAGAGTTTAATCCATTCCTCGAATGGCTCTCATCAACAGCTACTCAAACACACATTCCACTGAAACTTGTTTTGTAGGGTTCCAGACTCCTCCCTTGGAGAAGGCAGTGGCACCCCAATCCAGTACTCTTGCCTGGAAAATCCCATGGATGGAGAAGCCTGGTGGGCTGCAGTCCATGGGGTCACTAAGAGTTGGACACGACTGAGCGACTTCACTTTCACTTTTCACTTTCATGCATTGGAAAAGGAAATGGCAACCCACTCCAGTGTTCTTGCCTGGAGAATCCCAGGGACGGGGGAGCCTGGTGGGCTGCCGTCTATGGGGTCGCAGAGTCAGACACGACTGAAACGACTTAGCAGCAGCAGCAGCAGACTCCTCCCTAGTTAGCAGAAAGCACTCCATCCACTTTGAAAGACCTGAGAGGGTCTAAATTCTTGCTGCCAAAGACCTCTGAGCACTTCTAAAATTATTCCCTTGTGTCCTGAGTGGAGAATCCAGGTCGTTTTGAAACGCTTCACAAGTTCAGATGGGTCTCAGGATGGAGAGTATGTGTTACAGTCTCCTGGGAAGCCTTCGGAACACACAGACCCCCCTCGCCCTACCCAAAACCCACTTAATGAATCAAGGGACCTGGAACTCCTCACTGTTTTAAAGTCTCCTGCCTGAAGGTAGATGTGGTTTTGTGACTTCCCAAGTTATCTTGTTCATTCTTTCAAAAGAAAACTTTTTTCTTCAGGATAATCAGTTTTAATAGTTTCCATACACCAAAATATATACACTCCCACAAAAATAAATAAATAAAAACCAACCCTTCATTGGTGATTCTGATATTCAGCGGACTTGAGAACCACTGTCAATTTACTATCTTCCAAAGAAAAATTTCCCGTGGCCTCTAAGTAACAACCCATTAGTCGGGATTACTTAAAATCCTACTATGTCTTCACTATGTCTTAAGTGAGTGGCAGAGTTTAGGAATAACCTATTTCCCAATTATTTGGGAGCCACAGGGCAGGTGGTGGGTGAGGTTGGGCACTGTCCTACAGCATTCTTTCAGACATTGGACACAACGTTAAGACAGACCGGGTAGATACTTCCTGCCATTGCAGTCACAAAGAAGGTATCATGGATCCATCATAAATAATTTTCATCAGCTGAGTCCCATGGCCACAACACAGCAGGTGCTGTCTAAAGTTTTGGAGCTTTTGGCCTTGGGCTGGGTCACACTATGAAGGCGCACAGCTCACCCACCCAGACACCTGCCCTGGGCCTGCACACTGGGAACCCAGCAGCAGACATGAGAACCTCCCTCCCTCATTCCTTTCTCTCTGGCACTGCGCAAGCCCAGTTCTTAGGAGGCACCAGGCAAGGTTGGGGGTTGCAAAAAGGAAGAAAAACAATATGGCATCTCAACTAACTGCTCACTGAAGTCCTTAAAGAAGCCCCAAGGCTCAAGGAAGGAGAAATACAGACTGGTCTCCCGAAGAACAAGCAGGAAGAAGATGAAGGGCAGCCTTAAAACGGAGCCTGGTCACCCTCCCTAGTGGGATCACCCAGCCGAATGCTGGCTGATTCTTGGCTGATTCCATTTCACTCTGGGTGGACAGCTGAAGACTTTGTCAGGGAATCAACCTCAAGCAGCCGTACGGTGCAGCACTTGGCCAAGACTGATGGGCACGAGGCAGCAAGCCCTCGCTGGCCTCAGACACATCGGCTGCCCCTCCTCTGCGGAGTCCCAGCTGAGAGCCGCCTGCACGCTGGCTGCCAAGCGCTCCACTGACTATCAAAGGAGGGACACTTACCCAGAGGGCTGAGGGCGGCTGCCACACTCTCCCCCACGTTCTTGAGGAAATTCACACTGGGATCTTCTGATGGACCAGAGGCTTTGGTTTCAAAAAACAAAGATACTTTTAACTCAAAGCACCTCTCTCAATGACTGAAACCTGTCATAGTCCTGTCTGTCCCAGAAGCCCTACTCCCAGGGCCTTGTCCCAGCAGCCTACACCCTATTGCTTCCCTCTCTCTCCCTCTCTAGGCCACTTCCTGGGCCCCTTTATCTTTCACACCACTCCCCCTTCATCTACGTTCCTGGTGCCTAGAAACTCTGTACACACAGTATAATTTACCTCCCCCCCAAAAAAAGTATTATTTACTCAAACCAAATACCCTCATCCTTGTCCCTAAAGACAAGGTGAATCAAAGGACACAGTAATACTAATAAAATCAGAATAAAACTAGAATCTAAAAGTTCGGAATGCAACCTATGTGTAAATTTTTAACTTGGGAACTGTTTTACAAGACTTGAGCAAATCTGGCTCTGACTTTCCTAACAACTAGCAAGAAGAAGAGAGCAGACGGTGGAGACGCAGGTGCTGGAGGGGCCCCCCGTCTGCATATGAGGGCCACCAGGGCAGGGCAGGTGCACTCGTGGCCTTGAGCACCGAGGCACCTAGTTTTCCCAACTGGACAATGGAGATAATGCTTGCACTTTGCAGGATTTTAGGAGGATTAAATGCACAAATGGCCACGAAGTGCCTAGGCCAGCCACAGGCATGCAGGACTTCAGGGCACAGAGAAAGCCCTCCAGCTCTGCTGGCCCTCACATCTCACCATTCAGAGGCCAGCAGACACAATCCTCACCTGATTCCGTGGCAGGACCAGGGTGGACGTCCCCTGCCTGAGGAGGACGTGGGCTCCAGTTCCCCGGTGGGCCCATCTCCCAGCCAGGCCACCCAAAGTGCCCATGTTTCAGCTTCCGGAGCCAGCGGCTGTGAGAGAAGCCCTAGGAAGGGGCAGGCAGAGGGGCAAGGTGGTGTCAGTCAGGGGCTCCTGCTACCCGGCGCCCACCCACAGGAGGCCTCGCTCACCTCAGAGAAGTGCCCAAAGGGGCTGGGGAAGGCGAGCTTGCTGTGCTCCTGGTGCATGCCCTTCCCCTCGCAGACAGAGCACAGGTCGTAGTCAGGGCAGACGCTGCACTTGTAGCGGGTCCCCACCACCGGCCCATTACAACCATCACAGATCACGTTGGGGTGTACCATGTTTCGGGGCACCTCCTGAGCACACGGGGGGCGGTGATCCCTCCGGCACTCCTTCTTCTCTGCAGGGAGGGTGGAAAGCCGGAGACTCGGTGAGCCACGAAGAGTCGGCACTAGGGGGCCGTCAGTCAGAAGGCCCACAGTGCCACCCTTCAGACACTGAATCCACCTGGATTCAGCTGCTCAACTGACAGTAACAAAGCAGCTTCAGAACCTGCTAAGAGGTTCCAATCCCTGCACCCGAGACTTGGGCACGTGTGGCCCAGGCAGGAACAAAGCTCCAGAGAGCTGTGTCCGTATGCCTGTGGTCCTGGCCCGCACTAAAATAAACCCCAAAGCTTCCCTGGCCCATGATCGCAATCCAGAGTGAACCCCCCCCCAAGAAAAGAGTGAACCCAGAGACCCTCCAACCTCACCCCCTGTGGTGGACACAGCCTCCTTTCTCTGGTCAAGCAGAGTAATGACGATGGTCCTGTCTTAAAGAGCCCCCAGTCTCCTCACCGCTTCTTTGGAGAATTCTCCATAACCTCAAGCCAGTTTCACTCAGTTTCACTCACTAGGCTTTAGGCAGCACCCCAGAGCAGCCCCTTACCTTTAATGTAAATACGGAAGATGTCATCCTTCACATATGACATCGCCATCGTCAGTTCCTCGTCACTGGAAAAGGCAACCAAGTCCCCGTCCTCATCTAGATTGTTTAAAAGACAGCACGTGAGCACCCAGGGTGTCTCAGCTGGACACAAGCTGCTGCAAAGGGCTGAGGCTGGTACTAAAGGGCCCTTGCAAGGCTATAAACTGAGGCCCACCTGTCTGACCCAGAGCAAAGCAGAGCTGAGGGCAAACCACCCACTCACTCGGCCACCGCCTGGAGGGCAAGGGCTCCAGCCTGGGCCCTGGACACCTGCCAGAAGCAGTGTGTGTACGGGGGGCAGCAGTGGCCGCGCCTGACCACCGCTGCTCTGCCTCTGGGCCAGCTGCCCCGTCAGAAAGCTGCCATCTCCGTGCACATCCAGCCAGACCCAGTCCCACGTCAGCTGTGGAGATCCCCATCTATGACCTGCTCCCCTTGGACCGCTTGTGGCTTAGAAGACTAAAGCAGACTACATCTGCCTGCTTCCGCCCCCAGCAAAGTTAAAATTACGTATTTGTATGTAGTGTCCAATTTTTAGACGTTGGCGCAAATGGTTTAAAACACCACCATGTAGAACAAGCCACACCATACATCTGCAGGTCTGTGGGTCACCAGATGCAACATCTACCACAAAAACTGCGGCTGGATCAAAAGCCAGAAACAACTCAAACGTCCATTAAGTAATGAACAGCTGAACAAAATGTGCTGTATCCATAAAATTGAATGTTACTCAGCCACAAAAAGGAATGAAATACCGATACATACTGAACATATATGAACCTTAAAAACATTATGCCAAATAAAAGAAGCCAGTGACAACAGACTACATGTTTCTACATGAACGGTCCAGAACAAGGGAATCCATAAAGCAGATTAGTGGTATCTGACGGCTGGAAGCATGGGATGGGAAGATTACTAAAAGGTACAGAGTTTCTTCAGAAGGTGATGAAAAGATTCCCAGATGACTGTGATAACGGCTGCACAAATCTGTGAATACGGTAAAAACTGTACACTTTAAATGGACGAATTCTATGGGATGGTAGCTCAATAAAATCGCTAATTTTTAAACAGGTGGAAAAAACAGTTGGGAGCCTGGCAGCAGTCCACAGGAAGGGCCTAGCACCGCCCCACGCACACGGGCCCGCCTCCCTCCCAGCACAACCACCTCCCCTAACCCCACACCCAGCAGCCAGCTTCTCACCGCGCAGCTGGTAACCGAGCTGCCTCCTGGGCTGTCCCTACACCGTAACTGCTCAAGAACGTTTTCATCTTATGCCTCTCATCACTGCCAGTGGGATAACGTCTGGATTCCGCCTAGCCCTGGGTGTTCGTGAGGCCGCCCGACCTCTGACAGCCACCCGCGGGAAACTCACGGGCCAGGCCGCATCATCGAGCGCCTCGCCTCCCGGGGCGTTTAACGGCGTCACCGCTCTCCCCACCGGCCCTTCCGCGTCTGCCCGCCCCGGCTCTTCCGGGTTCTCTCCACAACCCCCACCTGGCGCTGGCAGACCCGGCCTCCGGCAGCGGCCAGGAGTCGGTGTAACCCGAGAGGGGAGGCGCTGGGGGAGCAGGTGAGGACGCCCGCGCGCCCTCGCCAAAATCTGCACTATCACCGCGGGGAGGAGGCCTCTCACGCCGCCAGGCCTGAGACTCGCCGGGAGGGCCTGGAGGCGCCAAACACCCCGTCAAGGGCTGGCTGCGGCCACCGCTCCTCGTCACCAGGACCGAGCTAAGGGCCCACGCGGGCCGCCGTCAACCCAGAGAGCTACCAGAGAAAACTCCCGCGGGCGCCGCCAACGCCGCGGCGAAGGGGCCGTCGCCCCGCCCGGTAGGGCAGGGCTGCGTCACGTCCCCGCACCGCTGCCGAGGGCGCCGGGCCCGCTCACCGCGGTAGTGCGCCTGAAAGCCGCCGGGCCGGAGCACAGGAAACAGCGCGGCCACCCGGCTCAGCAGCCGCTCACAGGGCCGGGGGCCAGGCGCGGCCTCGGCTTCGGCCTCGGGCTCCGGGCTAAAGCAGAAGCTGAAGCGGCGGATCTCGCGGGCTGCGTCCTCCTTGCCCAGAAGGTAGGCCTTCACGGTGAGCGACGCCATCACCGTCACTCGAGGAGCTGAAGCACAGCTGGGCAACAGCGGGCGGAGGCGCGCGGCTTTTGTAGGGCCGAGAGAAGCCACGCCCCCCGCCGCCTTCTGGGGGCGGGGCCTGAGCGCCCGGCCGGGGCTCGCGAGCCGCCCTCCGGGAGCCCCAGACCCACTACCCTCTCGTGGGCGCCGGGCCCCCTGATTGCCGCCCCCTCTCCTCACTGCCCCTAATGCACCAGAGACCCCAAGAGGCCAGCCCCCTACTCCGACATCAAAGATCTTTCGCCGGCCTCTTCACCTGGGGACCCCTCCCAGGTCTGGTCCTGGCTGTGACTCAGCAAAGCAGAACCCAGGCGGCCTGGAGATGCCCAGTGCAGCAGGAAGGTGGGCGACAGAAGCCCGAAGCCAGGAAGCTGCTAGGCTCTCAGCGGGCACCGCCATCTAGAACCAATTGGCTCCAGAGGTGCTGTCCTGACCTTGCCACTCTTGTCAGAAGCTCCTCCCTTTGAAGCCATCAGCTTCTCAGGTGGCAGCCCACTCCACCATCCCCAGCATCCTCCATGACAGCCCCTTACTGAGTGGAGGGACAGACCCTCCCAACTGAAGCGCAGGCAGCAGAGGAGCTCCCAGCTTGACAGAGGGTAGGGTTGAGAGGTGCCAGGACAGCACAGAATATTCCCATCCCCACCTGACTTGGAGGGGTTGCCAAGGCTTCCTGGAGCCTCAGGAGCCACCAAGTGTTCAATGTTCCCTAAAAGACTCGCCGTTGGTGCCTGGACACCCATGTGTCATCAGGTGGTACCCAAGGGCCTCATGGGCAGCCCAATAGGCAGATCAACAGCCTACCTCCTTCCTGTGCTGGGCATCTCCAGCTTTATGTGACAAAAGTGACCTGTGTTCAAACAGCCTGGGGGAAGGGGTTGGGATGAGTGTCTGAGAAGAAGGTAGTCGGGAAGGTATGTCACCATGAACCCTCCCAGGTATGGTTCTGTGAGTAGAAAATCAAACCTGCTGAGTCACATTCATGCTTTTTCATGGTGGGGTTTGTGGAAGCAGGTAAAACTTAAAGGAATGGGAAACCTGGAGACAACAGGAAGGTCAGTTGGATTTGGCCAGTCAGAGGCAAGGGTGCCATGCTGTGGAAGCACAACTGTGACCTGTTCACAGGGGTCGCTTGTCCTTCCCAGAGAGCTCCAGAGTAGGCAGGCTTTGAACCGCTGTCCAGAACCCTCTAGAGAGGACAGTCTGTCCTCAGGCTTCTCCCAGCATCCCTCCTTTGAGCCTGAGAAAGGACCCTCTCTGCCTACTGCCCTACAGACCATCAAGCGGCAAAGAGGGAGCAGTGCTGGGTGGAGGCTGTAGTGGCCCACAGGTGTCCCTGTGTGACTCAGCAGCTTGCGAGCCACTCAGCCCTGGGCAAAGCAAGAGCTGGTTTCCTGACCCCCTGCCAGAGCTTCATCGTCCCCAGCCCAGACTGTGAGGGGTTCACCACCAAAGCCCTGTGGTTCTAGGGACCCTCAGGTTTCAGGAAGGACTCCAGGCACGGCCTCTGTGTTTAAACCAGGGCGGCTGAGACAGAAGCTGCCCCTAGGAAGACATCTGCTTTCTTGCCTTTTGGCTGTTTGAGACAGTGGTGGTTTTGCAGGGACGAATGGAAAGCTCAGGGAGAAAGTGGGTGGGAGCCACTGGGGCCCTGGGAAGCAGGCAGACGCCCCCTCCCACGCTGGGGAGCCGGGCTTCTGGCCTTCCCAGCATGCCTCACTCCTGAGCCCTGCCCTCACTCCCCCGGCCCTCCCCCAAGGCTTGCTGGAGGTAAACAAGGCGGCAGCCGGGGAACTCCCTGGCAGGGCCCTCTCCGCTTGCGCTTGTGGTCAGGTGGTCTGGCCGGCAGTGAGTCAGCATCCCATGACCAGCCGTCATAACAAGGGGATCCCCCGCCCCCTTGCTGCCACCCACCTCAATGACATCTTATCAGGCAGGCAATCAAGGCGGGGAACTGTTGCATGGGTCTCTTCAGGCCCCGGGGCCAAAAGAGCAAGTAGATGCCAGGGTGGTAGAGAGCTGGCAACCAGAATCTGTCCCCATGACCCAAGGAGGAGGCTCTGCTGGGGCGCCTGCTGCAGCAGAGGGGAGGCAAAACAACAGCTTCCTTGCTAGCTCTCTCCCTGATGGCGTGAGGGACCATGAGTTTGTTCCTTATATGGGGGTGAGGGTATGCGGTGCATCCAGGGGGCCTGACTGGAGGGGTGGCTTGGGTGGTTTGCCCACCCCTTAGGTGGTGTTGGATGCAGGAGAGGGGGCGTGTGCAATACTGCGTTTCTGCTGGCTCTTCAGAAGTGGCAGTTGGGTTTTTTAGCCTTTTTGTACCTTTTTTGTCTATAATTTGCCCCAATTACTGGATGCACATAGCTATTTTAGTCCCTTAAGAATTTCTTGTGGGCCTCCCTGGTGGTTCAGTGGTAAGAATCTGCCTGCCAAGCAGAAGACCCGGGTTTGATCCCTGGGTTGGAAAGATCTCCTGGAGAAGGAAATGGAAAACTACTCTAGTATTCTTACCTGGGAAATCCCATGGACAGAGGAGCCTGGTGGAGTCCATGCAGTGGCAGAGTCAGACGTGACTTAGCAACTAAACAATGATAGTTTCTTTGTATTTTGTTGCTTGAGAAGTGTGTCCAGGTGCAAACATTGCAGCACTGCAGCAGAAGTTCCCAGGTCCCACCCAACCTGTGTCAATCCCATCCCTCGACAGTCGTTTCCTTAAATTTCCTTTATTTCCTTTGCCAGGTGGAGCCAAGCTTAGACGTGTGTGGTGGGGCAGCCAGAAATAAACCCACTGCAAGACTCAGACTGAGCTGCTCTGGGCCATTATTTATATGGAAGATTACAGGAAATCAAGCTTTCCCCACCCCAACATTAGGCCCAAGGTTTGAGTTCGTTTCTCCATGAGAAAACGGTGTGATGAGTAGGGTGCCTCCAGGCCACAGGGCCCTAGGACCCTGCTGTTCTCTTCCTCTCCCTAACAAGGAAGGGACACACCCTCTCCCTTCCAAATCATTCCACCTGGTGACTTTTTCCTGGCTCCTCCCCTTTCCTAGACCGCTTTCCCCACTGCCTCCCACTGTAATCTCCCACTCTAAATGTCACCTCAGTAGGGCCTTCCCTGACCACACCCTCGGGAAAATTCCCAGGCATTGGGTATCACCCCCTTTTTAGCCCACTGGCAAAAGCGCACAGCTCAGCCCGCAGGGAATCATGGGGGCAGGAGGGTAGCTTCTGAAAGAAAAGGAGCTGAAAAAGTCAGTGGCCCTGGGGAAAGGAGATGAAGCCACGGAGGAGACCTGATTGGAGAGTTAGGTGATGCCAAGCTGTGGGCCTTGGGAGCCCCCGGGGCCCTCCTGCCTGGCTGCTGGCTCCCTTCTGGCTGGGCTGCTCGCACTAGACGGGAGCTGGGGGCCGTCAGGCCCTGTGGGGGTCGTGGAGGTCGTGGGGGCGGCGCGCGCGGAGTGGGACGTTGCGCAGGGGCCGTGGAGACAGCGTTCACCTACGCAGAAGCCGGGGAAGCCGGGGGGCGGCGCCAGGGGCCTTTCCCGCTGAGACCCAGGCCCAGCGCGCCTGCCGGGAACAGGCAGCCCGGAAGGGGTGCGGCCGGAACTCGGGCTGCGGGGTCACTAGAGGCGGACAGCGGGCCCCTGGGGGCTGGAGCCGAGCCCAAGCATCATCCGCCAGCCAGACCCTTCTCCAGTCCGTCTCCTTGGACTGCTGGTGCCGGGCGGGGTCACTGCCGGCCTGAAAAGCCGACAGGGGCTCCGGTTTTCCCGCAGTGACAGGGAGCGAACACCTCGCTCTATGCGGCAGACCCGCGGGTCAGAAGCGGTGCAGTCGGCCGCAGGGTCGCAGGTGCCCTAAGACGCTGGACGAAGTGACGTGGATCCTGCCCCAGGCCGGAGGGTGGGCGGGGCGCTCGGAGAAGGGTCGCGATTGAGATCCGAGGGCCCCGCCCCTCGCGGGCCTTTCCAGCCCCCACTGGAGACCTACCCCCGGGCGCCCCTCCGAAGGAAACGACCAGCTTGACTGCCGAAGGCGGGGAGAATCAAGGCAGGAGTCATGAGGTGTGGGGGAGTGGAACCTGAAATGGGGGGGCGACCCTTGACGGGATCTGGTGTCCCAGGCGGAGACCCACGGAGGTGCCTAGGCCTTCCGGGCTGGGGGACAGCCGCTCAGGGCAGAGGGGGAGGAGGAGCAGGTGGTCTCGGGGGTCCCGGCTGGACTGGGGGCCGCAGTCTCCCAGGAGCGCCTCTCCAGCCGAGCCGCGGGAGGGGCGGGGGCGGGGAGAGGCGCTTTCCTGACCGTGTTGGGAGTTTAGGATCACGTGGAACGGACGGCCGCTGCTTGTCAGGGTCCGGTCAGTGTCCCTCCTCTTCCAGGCTCCCTTCGAAAACCTTCTGGAAAAGTGTGGCGTTCTCTTGTGCTCTGAAGTCCCGCCCTCCTGCCAGGCTCCTCACCAGCCGCTGCCTCTTGGTAGCAGCTAGCTCCCCCAAGGCCTTGGGGGCCCTCTGCTCCTGGCGCAGGGCACCCCTTTTGCTCAGCCTGGGTCCCAGCGCCTGCACCTCGGGGGAGCTCGGGTAGCATTTGTGGGGTCGAGTGTTGGACCTAGCGCGTGCCTTTTATCGTGCTCTGGAGCTGGGATGGCGCTGCTCCTCCTTCGCCCTTCGGTAAAACGGTGTCTTGGACGCCCCCTTCCGGTGAGGGCCGCATCGCGCAGCAGCCGCCAGACCAGCCCTCGAAAAGGTGCCGCGAGCCGAGGTGGGCAGCGGTGTTCCAACCGCTCTGTCTCGGGGCGGGGGGAGTGTGTGCCTGGGCTTCACGCAAGCGACTGGACGAGAGAAGGGCGTGCGGTGGCCTTGGCGGGCCCTGATGCTGGGTGCTCAGTATCGCGCTCTGCCTGGCGCCCAGGAGCTATATGTGTGGCAGGCCCTGAGCTAAGGAGAGAGGACAGGAGAGGCACAAAGCCT